TGCCCGCACCTTGTTTCATTATGTGCAGCTTCGTGTGCCCACGGGGCCTCCCCAAAGCCCTGCACAAGTCCCTTAGCAATGTGGTGTCTCCACTCAGGTGGTGCCTGACAGCTCCTGGGGCGGCAGTTGGCATTTTGGTATCTGCAGCTCCAAAGCGAGCAGGGCTGGGGCTGTGGCTGGGACACCCGTGTGTGTCAGAGCAGCCAGGAGAGCTCTCGGGGAACGGGTGAACATGTCCCCCCTGTGCCGTCCCTCCGGGCTGGCGCTGGGCTCTCTCCATCAGCGGTTCCCTGTGGCAGGACCTGGCATCTCCAGCTACGCAGACGACCCCGCGGGGGCTGGCGCCGGCCTGAAGCCGTGCCTGGACAGGGCCATGAAGATCGTCCCGGCCGAGCAGCAGCGGGAGACCCCCACGTACCTGGGGGCCACGGCCGGCATGCGGCTGCTGAGGTACCGGCACGGCCAGGCCGGCACCTGCTGCCCTCCCGGCGCTCCTGCGCCCGCCGGAGCCGGGGCTGGCACCGGGGCACACGGGCCGGGCCACAGGGCTGCTGCCCGGCCAGGCCGTGGGGATGGGCAGAGCAGCCCTGGCCACGGTGCCGCGGGGTGCCGGGAGAGCCGCTGGCCGTGCCCGGGGGAGCGCCCGGCCCTCTGCAGAGCCAGCCTGGCAGCAGCCCCAGAGGGGATGAGCCCCCTTTGCCAGAGTGGCACCAACTTTCCCAGGGCTCCAGCAGAGCCTGGGGCAGCGGCTTTAGGGAGAGTGCCAAGGCCCCGGGTGAGGGATTTGGGGTTTGCAGGAGCCACCTGCGGGCAGGGAAGTGCTGGGGAGATGTCTCGGAGCAGCTCCTGGGCAGGGCACAGCAGCCTCTCGGTGCCAGCCCCGCTGCCAGAGCTGCCAGCCAGGCCTGCAGCACCTGAGGTGTTTGTGCCTTTGCTGGCAGGGAGGAGAACAGCACCAAGGCCGAGCAGGTCTTGGCCGAGGTGTCCAAGGCCATTGGGGCGTACCCTGTGGATTTCCGTGGAGCTCGGATCCTGACGGGGAGTGAGGAGGGTTCCTTTGGCTGGATCACTGTCAACTACCTGCTGGAGACACTGGTCAAGGTGCAGCTGGGGAGAGGGCAGGGGAGGGGCAGTGGGCAGAAGGTCCCTGTCTGAGGTACAGCCGCCTTTCCTGATGTGCAGAGGAGGGAAGAGTGGAACTTTGGGGCACTGGTCCCCCAGCTAAATGTCCCCTGCGGTCGTGGGCTGCAGATCCCACCCCATTAATGTGATTAACAGGATCTTTGTGTGCAGCTCAGCCTGGCCCTGTGCTCTCGTGTGCTGACACGCAGGTGGATTTTGGGATCCCAGGGACAGGGCAGCGGGAGCAGGCTCCGGGATAGAGAGTTCCTTTTTCCCTGATCAGAGTGTCTGGATGCCAGCAGATGTGCAGCAGCCAAGAGGCCGCACCTCAGTGCTCTGTGGAAGTGTCTGTGGGTTGAGGAGGATGTGGGCAGGCGGGGGTAAAACAGGGAACCAGGGGGATGTGGAAGGTGCCTGTGGGGCTTCTGAGCCCCAAACTCCTGGAGGGAAGGGAGTGTGAGTGTGAGTGCCTGCAGTTCAGCCTAACCCTTGCTGTGTGTTGGGCCAGTTCTCGTTTGCAGAGAAATGGGCACATCCCCAGGACACCGAGGTTCTGGGAGCTCTGGACCTTGGCGGTGCCTCGACGCAGATCACCTTCCAGCCCGGGGTGCCCGTGGAGGACAGGAACACGTCCGTGTTCTTCCGGCTGTACGGCACCGACTACTCCCTGTACAGCCACAGCTACCTGTGCTACGGGCAGAGCCAGGCCCTGAAGATGCTGCTGGCAGCTCTGCACCAGGTGCCACGGGGCACGGGGGCTGCTCAGCCATCTCCCAGTGCCATGGCACATCTCCCCCTGCAGTGTTGGGCGTGCCCCTGGGCACAGAGTTGGGAATTGGCAGAGCCTTGCATTTCATCTAGGGAAGCAAAAAATTGTCTCTTTTGGGTGGAAGGTGGTGGTGGCTGCCAGCCAGGGCTCCCTTCTCCCCACACCCTGACATGCAGTGGCATTTTTTGTAATTTCCCAAGGCCAGCTGTATGTGTAGTTTTTCTGCTGTCACCATTCTCTCGGCCTTGCTGCATTCCTGCCCAGAGAGAGGTTTCCCAGCACAGGCCCTGCACAACAGCCTGGGGACAGAGGCAGAACCCGGTGCTGTGGGAGCCAGGGATTCTCAGGGAGCTCACAGGTGGGGTGCATCCAGCCCTCCTGGGGTGCAGGTCCTGCTTTTTGGGATGGGCTGCGGGAAGGGTCTCAGTGGCATGGCAGCCCCATGAACGGCTCCGTCTCTCTCCAGGCCAGCTCGCGTGCCCAGATCTCCCACCCCTGCTACCCCAAGGGGTACAAGGAGACCATCACCGTGGCAGAGCTCTACAACAGCCCCTGTGTGCGTGCGCCAAGCTCAGCCAGGCCTGGCCTCGTCCTCACGGTGACGGGGACAGGGGACACAGACACGTGTCACGCGGCCGTCCAGAGACTCTTCGACTTCAGCTGCGGGGCGCAGGGGCCGTGCGGGTTCAATGGGGTCTATCAGCCCCCTGTGCGGGGACACTTCTTCGTAAGCAGCCACCGACCCCGTGCCTGGGGAGGGTGAAGGCAGAGACTGGGAGTCTCCACTGCCACTGATTGTGCAAAGGGGTGGGGAGACAGGGATTCTCAGTGCTGGTTCTATCTGTAAACCTCTTCTATGCTCAGAGGTGGCTTCTGCCTCCTGCCATGTCCCAGCCTTCCTTGAGGGAAATGGCAAGACCTTGTCTGAGGGAGCCTGTCTGTGCTGGCTCAGAGTGCCAGAGCAGCCCAAGGGTTTTGAGTCTGCTCTGCTCTGAGACTTTCTCTCAAACCCTCAAGGGGGTGCCACGTGCAGAACTCCGAGAATTACTTCGGACTCTCTCCCCAGGGAAGCGGGGCCCCTGGGTCTTTTCTCAAGTGAGGAAGGAATTGTGTTTTTCACCATGTTCCCTTGCCCCCCAGGCCTTTGCTGGGTTCTACCACACCTTCAGCTTCCTGAATCTGACCCGCCAGAAGTCTCTGAGGGAAGTCAACACCGCAGTCCGGTCCTTCTGCAGGAGAAACTGGGCAGAGGTGAGAGCCCTGTGAAGGGAAGCCAGGAGTCTTGTGCTTATCCTGTCGTAAATCTCTGCCCTTGGAGCACAAGCCCTGCTGTTCCCTGGGCTAGGGAGGGTTTCTGAGCCTCTCTTTCATTCTCTGCTGCACTCTGTCCCTGATGACCTCACAGCTAGTGCAGAGCTTCCCTCAGCATTTGAAGTACCTGCACACCTACTGCTCCATGGCCCTTTACATCCTGACACTGCTGCTCAAAGGCTACAAGTTCAACGAGCAGACCTGGAGCAACATCCACTTCAGCAGGCAGGTAAACACCTGTGGGCAGCAGGAGAGGATGGACATGTTCAGGAGCAGCATCTCTGGAGTCCTCTGTGCCAGAGATGTTTCATGGCTGCTCCCCAGGGACCCCAGGAGAGCTTTGCCCTCTCTTAGCCACCTCCAAACCTCTGACCCAGTTCATGTCTCACTTTCCCTGCTGTGAATTTAACTGATTTTAAAGGGGTCAGGGAAAAGCAGAGCAGGATTTGGCCACTTTGGTCTCTGACGTTCTTATCAAAGGTGATGGTGGCCCCATGACCACTTTGAACCAGAGTATGGCCTGACCAGAATATTTCCAGCATGAGAGGAGACAGCCTCAAGTTGTGCCAGCAGAAGCTTAGTTAGGTACTAGGAATGGTTTTTTTTCATGGAAATGAGTCACCATCCCAGGAAGGGTTCAAACAACATGTGGATGTGGCACTTGAGGACACAGCTTAGTTATGAACATGGTGTTGGTGCTGGGCTGATGGCTGGACTCCATGATCTGAAAAGTCTTTTCCGACCTTACTGACTCTGCAGCCAAATTACAAAGATTATGGGGATGGAGCAAAGCCCAGATCCAAAATCATGTGCAGGTCACAGAGGCAGCCCTGGATCAGAACAGTCACCCATGTTCAGCTGTCCCTTAGCCGTGGGGGAGCAGGGAGAGGAAAGCTCTTTGTGCAACTGCTGCTGGCACGATTAGGTGCACCACAGCCTGGTCCCTATGTGAAACGGCAGCTGGGACGGCTCACGGGAGAGCTGCCCCTCAGCCCCTCACACCAAGCTGCTGATGCCTGGGACAGGTGCTTTTGGATGATGCCCTGTGCTGTCTCCCCTCAGGCAGCAAACACAGACATCGGGTGGACACTGGGCTTCATGCTGAACATGACCAACATGATTCCTGCCGAGGTTTCGCAGCATGTCAAGGTCCACCAGCCCAGCCTGTGGGCAGGGGCTGTCTCCTTCCTTGTATTGGCCATTGTGGCAGGCCTGGTGGCTGTTTTCCTACACTGTTTCTGGAAAACAGAGTAGGTCCCTGCCTCCTGACTAGAGGCATCCTGCCTACTGAACCAGGCAGTGAAGTGGTGCAGAAGACGTGGAAAGTGGAGAAGAATGAAGGCATTAGACTCATCTGCATTGCTCAGGAGATCTGACTGGGTCATCTCTGTGAATGTGGAAGATAACCTGATCTCTCTCCAAGAGGAAGACTCCTTTACTCTGACTGCCAAAAGCTGATTGAGACTTGCTGGCTGGACGAAACCATAAAAATTCAAACTAGAAATAAAATCAGTTTTGTTTTTCAAATATGAATGTCACCGCTCAGCCTAGCACAATTTCCTTGGCATTTCCATTCCTGCTGGACTACTCTTCCAACAGTCCTGGGAGACAACTGGCAATGGAGAGCGTGGTGGCCACCTAACTCTGAGCAGAGGGATGACATAATCTGTATCCTGCCCTGTGCAAGATGTGCAATATTTTTGTAGTATGTGACAGAATCTCTTCTCAAAGACACTGTCAGCTGTTGTTAAAAATACTTACTGGTATATTTCAGCAGAAAAACACAAGTGGAAGTTGATTTAAGAGTTGCCAACACTGGCTCAGGGTTTATTTTATATTCAAGTTACATAGCCAAGTTTTGTCAAGACATCAAATCCAGAACAGGTTCCAGCCAGGCACTTGAGTGTTTTATTTAGATCAGCCCAGCCCAGTTGCAGGAATTGGACAGTGCTTTCAGCCTTTGCAACACCAGCCCAGCACTGCACTTCCCAGTCAGCCCTTTCCCCAGGGCCTCCAGGGCTCTCCCAACAGTTTAGAGCTGCTCTGAGCAGTGGGGATTTCTACAACTGCCTCTTCACTGTGCTCCAAGATCCCACCTTGGCCTTAGGGCTTAAGAAAAGTACCCAAGGCACCTGGCAAAAGAATGCTCAGGTCCACAGCTATTCGCTATGGAAGACAGTGGTCCTAACTCATGGTGTTATCCCATTAATCTCACTGCAAACTGGTTCCAAAAGTCTTTTGAAAGAGCAGCATCTCTGGCTGGTGGAGATAAGGTTATGTAACCCGAGAGCCTGGGGAACAGAGCTCTGTCCCCTGCTCCCAGACAGCCACCCTTGGCTTGGCAAGTGAGGCTCAGCCTTCCCAGCCTCAACATGAGCAACAAGGGAGAGGGGATGAAGACTCCCACCCAGGGGAACCTCCTCCCACCCAGGGGAACATCTTCCTACCCAGCAGCCTGAGTTGCCACATGGACAATTCCCACAGCCAAACCCCAGAGCCCTCTCCTTGCTCTCTGCTCTTCACAGACACATCTTTGGCAGTGTAAGCACGAGGTAAAAATGCCAGAGCAGGGAACAGGCTGTGGGAAGTGCCATCACTGCTGGAACTGACCCCATGGATCTGAGTGGGAGATATCCCCTGTCCAGGTACAGCAGAGCTCCTGGCTGTGCTGGCTGGGGCCCAAATGAACTGGGACGAGTGTCTCCCACCTCTTGGGGTGCAGTCAGGCAGGAAAAGGCTCCTGTTTGCTATAGGAAGGCAGCGTCACAGCTGGTCTGGGTGGCAAAGCATTTGGGGAAGATGCCAGTCTTGCCATTGCAGCATCCTTCCAGCCAGTCCTCGTTCACTGGAAAACATAAAGGAGCAGGGATAAGTCCTGGCCCATATGAGTGGGGTTAGTGAGACTTTTCATGGCTAGAATTTAACTCTGGAAAAAACCCAGTGCAACCGTGTATCTCCTGAGAGTATGAATCTGAGACAGCCCTGGAGAGGTTTTCCCCAGTGCCTCCCCACAGCAGACTCCAAAAGCCTGGCCCAGCAGCAGGACTGGAGAGCTACCTTCAGAAAGGATATCCAGCACATCTCCCTTGCTGAATTCCAGGTCCCCCGGTCCCTGTGCCAGGTAAGAGTGCTGAGCCAACATCTGGTAGAGAACAGGTCTGCCTGAGTGGGAGTCAGAGTCCTGCAGGAAAAAGCCAGCATGGAGTTTGCAAAGTAAAGCAGAGACTGGAGCTCAGCCCAGCAGAGACTTTGTCCCAGCCCAGGTACCTGGCAACAGAGTGTCAGCCTGCCATCAGTCAGCTGCTGCCATACCTTCCCCAGGTCCTCTTGTCCCAACACTGTCCCCAGCTCCGTGCCATCCAGGAGCCTGTAGCTGCAAGGGTTCATTAATGCTGAGCAAATCATCTCATTTAAAGCCAAACTTGGAGACAAGCCCAGCCCTCTGCCTCCCTCAGTCTTCACAGTCCCCTTTACAGGCCAGTTCTGAGCTTGTCCCCTTGCACAGTGACATGGAGCCACCCCACATGCTCAGCAGGCAGAAATGGCACTGTGGGGAGTGACACTGTCACCTCCTCCTACACAAACTTGAGGGAAAGATCCTAACTCTCCTGATGCCACTGTGTGTCTCAAGGAGTGACACAATCTGGAAGACCTCACCCCACGATCTACTGCCTGAGTCCCAGCTTGCTCTGCATTGATCCTTGTTACTGCAAAGGCTGAGCTGAATGAGACAAAATCCAACCTGTGGCAGCTGCATCTACACAAAGTTTTTTCTTATTTTCTCCCTTTTTCTTGACTGTGGTACAGTTTCCTAGGAAAGATCTTTTAGGCTTCCCAGGCCCATAGATTCACATAATGGTTTTGCTTGGAAGGGCCTTAAAGATAATTTAGTTTCAACCCTCTGCCATGGGCAGACAATCTTTCACTACACCAGGTTGCTCCAAGCTCCATCCAATCTGGCCTTGAACAGTTCCAGGGATGAGGAATCCACAATCTCTGTGGGCAACCTGTGCCAGGGCCCCACCACTCTTATACTAAAGAATTTCTTCCTAATATCCCATCCAACTCTGCCCTCTGTCAGTTTGCAGCCATTCCCCCTTGTCCTGTCACTCCATGCCTTTGTTATAAGTCCCTCTACAGCCCTGCCTGAGCCCTTTATGTACTGGGAAGGGATTACAAGAGGAACAGCATGTGCTTCCCCATGGGGATCACGCTGTTGTCCCACCCAAAGCCCACGGTGAGGTTTGCGCTCTAGGCAGACTGTGTGCTTAGATCTTTGCTGGTTCTGGCCCCAGATAAACACTCTCAAGAGCCCAGAGGCGGCTGGATGCCCGTGTCCTGAGGGGAACGGCTGCTGGCCCATCCCAGGCCACAGCCCTGTACCTGAGTGTGCCCCGCTGTGCCTGCTGAGCCAGCCTGTCCCGCATCAGGGCCCGCAGGGCGGGCAGGGCCGGGGCCTCGCCTGCCCGCAGCACCAGCGAGCACTCGCAGCGCAGCCGCAGCACGCTCGGCCTGTCGGTGCCCGCGGAGGCCTCCCCGCACCTCGGGGGGACCTGTGGGGAGATGGGCTCGGTCAGAGTGCAGAATCAGAGTATCCTCAGGGGGAAGGGACCCACCAGGATCACCCAGCCCAGCCCCTGTCCCTGCCCAGACCCCCCAAAATCCCACCCTGGGCATCCCTGGCAGCGCTGGCCAAAGGCTCCTGGAGCTCTGGCAGCCTCGGGGCCGTGCCCATTCCCTGGGGAGCCTGGGCAGTGCCAGCACCTCTGGGGGAAGAATCCACACTGACTATAAAGTTCATGGATGTGATAAATTAATATGATTCATGCTAATAATTGTAACTATATCGATATTTTAGAAAATATTTGTTAAAAAGTAATAGAGGAAAGTGATATGTAATTAGTATCACAAAACAGATGTTCATAAGAAAATAGGAAACAGGATGGAGCATTGAGATATTTTAAGACAGAAATCGCCTTGAGAGGAAAAGTTGGGAAACTCCTAGAGCTGAATTGGCATGAAAACGAATGAAAGCCCAGATAACTCCCTAGGCAGGAACGGCCTTGAGATGAATCAAGTTGGCTCAATTCCAGATAGGGAACCTAAAATAGTGGTCTTATGTATGAAATAATAAGGCTCAATTGGAACATAATGTTTACTTATATAACACCAAGCTCAATGTGCATGCGCAACCTGCCAGGTCATTCAGAGGACAGAGAGGAAGACGTCGAGCCTTCCTCTGAAAAGACCACCAGAGAGCCAAGCCCCTTAGTAACAAGAGGCGCACGCGCTGTGCTGCAGAGTGACGTAGATTTCCAGAATCGAAAATGGGAGGAGATTTACAGGAACTATTGATGAATATGTATTAGCATACAGTATAAAAGTTGTGCTTGTATTCTTTTGTCTTTTGTACATGAGGCAGGCTGGGAAGCCCTCCACATACCCCAGTCAGTTTTGCTTATGCTTTATCTGAACCACTGCCAAATTTCTTTTCGTAACTAGTGAATTATATTTGATTGTATTAATATTTTATACCTCAATTAAAATTGCTGCTAAATTTTAAATCTTGTGGTTTATTAAATTTGACATATAGGGACCTCATTTATAACAATGGACTAAGAAGAACCACGACTGACTAACAAACCAAACTGACAATATCTGCTCTCATACCAAGAGAGGTGACACACACACAGTCCCTCATCTCTGTGCTGCCATGTAGCAGTAGAACATCATCAAAATGCAGACCTGAATTTCAAAGAGGGAACTCTGGATTCAAAGCCTGGGATCAAATGTTCCTCCTCTGACTCAGGAATTCTGGTTTTGGTTCTGATTTTACACGTACCTCCTAAACCCAAAATTGTAAGAGCAGGGCCCCGGTTCCTCCAGCCAGCTGGAGAGGAGCTGCCACATTCCTCTATAGTGTTGCCTTCTGGCTGAACTACACCTGAAAAAATTACCCCAAAACCCCTAAAAACAGGTGTGGCAGAGGTGACCTGCAGCTGAGGGACAGATGTGGTGTCCCCAGAGGGTCACAGGAATCATTCCAGGACCACCACATGCAAAGACTGGCAATGGCATGGAAGTACCTCAGAGGACATTACCCAACAGGGCAAATTTGAATGAACTATGCTATCCAGACTGATAGAGACAGAAAATGGGACACAGGAAGAGGAAGGAAGGGACAGCAGGGTGTTCAAAGACAACTGCCTCTTGCAAAGTGGGCTGTAAAGCATGTGCACAAGAACTCTCATGTGTTGGTGCTCCTGGTGCCTCAGAGGGTGGCAGAAGGTCAGTCTTGGGCTGTCTCAGAAACTGTCTCAGAAATGGTCACAAACTGGGAGGAAGGACCACATGGGAGCCTCTCTTTAGAATGGAAAAGTGGTCAGAGGAAGGAGGTTTTTTCCCAGTAATTTGGGAGCAGCTCAGGAATTCTGGTCAAGAATCTTGCACTCTTCCCAGCCCTGGTCTCCTGAGGCTGTACCAGCTTCAGTCTGCGGAACACCTCACCTTGGATTCCATGTGGGCACTGGCATCATTGATGGAGGCATTTTCTTCCCCAGGAGGAGCTGCAGAACAGCACAAAGGCAGGGGAACAGCCCTGCAGTCAGCAGAGGCTGCAGTGGGGCCACCACCTCCTTAGGCCCCCTCAAGAGCAGGGTTGGGCACAGCTTCAGCCACTGGGAGCCCAGGGATTACCTGGCTTCTGCTTCAGGGACAGGCGGCTGGGAGGCACCTGGGCAGGAGGAAGGGGAATCCCAGTGCTGATCTTCTGCAACAGAATAGCATCAGAAAGGAGAGGGCAGAAAATGGGAGCCTGGACAAGGCTGGTGTGTGACAGGCTGCAGCCAGCTACAGACTTGTGGGTGTAACCCCAGGGAGCACCCCAGGGAGAGCTGCTCATTGAATGGTTGGATGAAGTGGAGCAATCAGGCTCTTGAGGGCAGAGGTTTGGGGACACTTCCCTCACACCCTGCTCCCTGCTGGGTTGGTGCTGGAACAGAAGGAGGCTGCTCACACCGTGCTGAGGGCTCTCCCCACCTGGGCTGCTTCACAGTGATATATCCATGGAGCAAACGCCCAAGTGTGTACCAGGGATTCATTTGGAGGGGGAAAATGACAAAAAAATCATAGCAATATCAGAACAACCGTGTGCTTGAAAACACCCTCATAGGAAACAGGGGGCTGAGCTGCACCCTTCCACACTGGGCTCAGATGGAAAATGACTGGGATCATGTGTGGCTATGCCTGTGGTGGAGACAAGAGATTATGTTCTCTCGAGTCAAAGGGATTTTTCCTACTCCTATCTCTTCTGTTGTTCCCATTCACGAGCACTTGTTCTTCAGCCAATAGTCTCAGTGTTTCATACTCTATGTTTCTCTTACAGAGTTGTCCTATCCTGTGATAATCTTACAGATAAATGTCCCAAATGTATGTCTTCATCCCTCCCTCCCTCTCCCTGTTTGCAAGGTGCCAGCTCACCCATTTATCCATCCTTGAGGCAGGCTCCAGGAGAGAGCTCGGGATGTGCAGCTTCTGCAGAGGGACACGGAGCGGAGCAGGGTGAGAGAGGAGCCCAGCAACCCCAGCCCAGCCCCAGCACTGCCTGTCACCCTATGGCCACACGAATCTGCCTGAAGGGTGGGGTCACCCCCAACCACCCAAGTGCCTAGTGCTCACAAACTGCTGAACAAGATCCAACGATCCTTCTGCAGCTTTTCCAGCTGGGAGCAGAGCTGCTGCGGGGGTGGCTGCAGTGGAATAGACCAAACACCCACCAAACCCCCTGCTCCCAAGACAGATGCTCAGGCAGAGAGCAGCAAGGATGCCCAGGGATACCAGTCCAACAGCATTTCTGTGTCTTCTGACAATCACTGCTGCTCATTTCAACTGAGCATTGCAATTTTTTGCTTACAATGCTTTTATTTTTCTGTTGAGTGTCTATTTTCATTTTTTCTACATTGAATTTCACCTGGCACTTCACTGAGCAGTCAACCAGCACATCCAAATACCTGTGTAACTGTTCCTATTAGCTGCAGATGCTTCCGGCTCTCCCCCTATTCCTAGATCACTTAGGAATATGCTAAATACTTACATCACAGATTATTTGCTGTGGGAACATCCCTTCTTTTTAAAAATGAAAGGAAGAAAAACCTGTTCATTTACACCCAACTTTTAATTCTGTATTTTTACCAGTCTTCAGAGCACTGCCTCAATTGCTCAAACACCTCACTGGTTTATAGTGGACTTACGAAGAATTTTGTGACTTTTTTGAAAGACAGGCAAGTAATATATTAACAGCTCTTTCAAAAAGTGAACTAGACAGGTGAGAAATGGCTTCTGCCAACAAAAGATTTTCCATGTTGTGTTTATCGGTTTCTATTCCATTTGTTTACCCTATAGCTCCCTGGCTGGCAGGAAGATGTCAGATTTGCCAGGCTCTAAGTCCTTAGGACTTCTCTACAGCCCTTCATAAATCCTGCCTGTACAGCTGAAACCCTCCTCAAACCTTCCCAAATGTTACAGTGCGCTCGGGCTATGCTTTTCCCCATTTCTAGGGACCCCTGTGACTCTGATCAGATAAGAGCGTCCCCTCCTTCCTGACCTCATGGAATAAAGAAGCTGGACAACCACATCAGAGTTAGAGCCTCTTTTGAATCTTTGCCCATCTCCTGATGTTCCTCCCCGCAAAGCCTCGTATCTCTGGGCTAGCCTAATAATTTAGGGCTGAGAGAAGTGAAGCATCACCCAAAGTTCATTGAACAGAGGCACTACAGACCAGGTAAGGACCAACCCATCTCCTCAGCTCCATCAGAGCTCTCAGGGCATAAATCCTGCTCTAAATGGTGGTCCTTGGTGAGGTCTGCTGTCCTTCAACTCCACAGTAGGATCCCCTATGGTGGAGAGCCCAGAAGCCATCCTTGTCATCTACAGAGGCAAATGGCAGAGGCCAGTGGGAGCCCAGTGTGAGGAAATCTGGGAGGTGTGGGGAGGAACTTCTGAGGATGGTGCTCAGGGGGGCTGGAGCCCAGCCCTGTCCCCAGGGCCCTGTCCCTGCCCTGTCCCCGGGGCTGTGTCCCCGCCCTGTCCCCGGGGCCGTGTCCCTGCCCTGTCCCCAGCCCCTGCCCTCACCTGCCCGTCGTGGATGGCCGTGGCCCAGCCGTCCGCCGCCCTGCCCAGCACGAACACCAGGCTCCCGGCCGCCACCTCCGGCCCCGGCTCCGCGGGGCGATACGGGGCCAGCACTCGGTGGTAGCCGGACTGGGCATCCCTGCGGGGAGAGCAGAGCGCTGCAGCGGCCCGGCCGCGGTGCTGAGGGCTCCGAGCCAGCACACCGCACCGCCCCAGCTGCCACGGGCTGTCAGGTGTGGGTCCTGAGAAATCGGCATTCCCATTGCTCCTCTTCGCTCCAGCTGGGAACAAGAGGGCCTTGGAAAGCACTGATTTGCCAAATGCAGCTGTCTTTTCATTGTACTGATAAACAATGCCAAGATCAAAACAATTTTTCAACACAACCCCGAAGTACTGCTGGTGCAATATCACCGAAACAAATTAGTTTCTTGGGTTTAAACATGATTTTGGGTCAGGACACTAGGGTTGTATTGAGTATTTGGAATTGTCCTGAGCATCCTCTGCCACAGACCTGGGCAGGTCCCACAGCCTCTGTCTGCTTCCATTCCCCAGGCACGCCACGATCCATGCCTGTCTCCCAAGACCATTGAATCAAGTCCTGCAAACTGCCCAGAGGCTCTTGCAGAGATGCCAGGGACCTGCAGCATCCTTTGCAGCCACAGGAGCCTTTGTGTATTTGTCATTCACTCCACCCCTGGTCAGAAGTGGGTGTGGATCCCTCGGAGTCTTCACACAAAGAAGCCAGAGAATAAAAGACTTTCTGAACAGTAGTGAGAGAAGGGTAAGACCAAGGTGGGACTGAAGACTCACCGCAGAGCATCTTCGCTGGGTTCATAAAAGCCTTGTTTCTGTGGGAGAAACAACAGAATCCATTTGTAACGGTGCCTCCCACAGCAGCAGTGCCACCTTACCTCCTGACTGTACTATTCTGTCTCTATTCTTGACCCCATTTGTCATTCCACACCACCCATAAAAAGTCTACTGCTCCACACCTTACCACGATGTGCCTTCTCTTCCTTCCCCTCCCTCTTTATCTCATCAGGAAGTAAGACAATGTCTTCCCCCTCCCCTGGTTCCAAGGAACTCCCAGCACAGTGGGAGGCAGTTGTGCTCACATTGACACATTTACAGAAGCGATGAGCAGAGACAGGCTGAGCACAGCAAAGCACTGCTGTTTTGGCATGGTGAAGAGCCAAAAAGCATCTTTTAAGGGCTGGAGATTCCCATCACTGAATCCCTTACAGCCAGTGCTGAACCTGGCTCTGAACAGCCCCATGGATCCAGGCTGGTATCACACCGGTTTTACCAAGCGTCCACTCTTCCCCTGATGGTTTGGATCCGAGCCCCTTTGTGGAGCTCCACGACAGCTCCATCCTCCTTTCACAGCCCCGTCCTGCTCACCTGAGGCCTGAGAGGCTCAAAGCCAATGTACTCGTCGTTGGGAATAATGGATGAGATCACCTGTTGGAGAACAAAACAATGAGTGAATCTAGGCTGGACGAAGAGATCTCCAAACTTCATACAAGATTATCTGCTCAGACCCATTTCCTTCTGGCATCCCAAGGTCAGGCAAAATATGGAACTGTGCATGCAGTGGGAAAGGCAGAGCTGGATTCTCAAGACAGCTTCAACCATTTGTGTCCCAGTTTTTTAGTCTTTACAAGGTTTCTTTAAAAGTATGTGAATTTATTGCTTTCTCTTTCCTTTATTCATTTTAGAGCTCTCTGTTCTGACTGCACTGGTCACAGAAGGGGTCAGAGAAATTCTCTGCTGCCTTGTATTAGGGGATGTGACAAAGTATTTGTCCCCTGGATGCCAACCTGTCCCCCTGGAAATGCAGGACTGAGCAACAGCATGCTGCCCCTCTTAAAAACATCATTGTCAGCAAAAGGGCAACCACGGGTTCCCAGAATACCTGCTTGGCCCTTTCAGACTTTAAAGTGACCCAGACTGGGAAGGTATTTTAGTGCCAAAGTGCATTTTTTGGTAGAAGGGGTAGCAATTCTAACAAACGTTGGCTTCTGTGTCCTCACTGCCTGGACTGGCTGCAAGCTCTGCCCATCCTGCTCTGGTTGCCAACACAACACTGCTCACTGCAGAGGCAAAATTTTTCTCTGCTGCTGTTAATTACGACAATTATGTGCCTGTTACCTTGGGTTTACCCAGGAAATCTTTTGAATCCAGCTGCTCAACTTCCTTCTTCCGTGGTCTGAAAAGTTCCCCAAGAGGAACCAGCATGGGCTCTAAAAACAGGTGGTCCTGGGGTGGGGAGTGCAGGTAAAGAAAAAGCCATCAATTTGCATTGAATGAAACATCAGTGCCCTGAAAAGCAAATACAGCTTAGGTGTGAAAGAGCAGCTCCAGGAAGACATTGGGGCAAAAGTTTGGCTGTGAACTCGACAAAGGCCACTCAGGCTCCACAAAAGCACAAACTGAGAGCTCAGCAGCCCCTCCCCAGTGTGGAAGCAAGGACTGACACCGCTGCCAGGGGGTCGGTGGGAAGAGGGGCAGTGCAGGAAGTCTTATCAAACAAATCTTCCAAACAGCTTTTCTGTTTGACTTCAGATGTTTTCTGTTCAGCCACTGAGTGTGATAATAGCAAATGTAAACAATACCCTGGAAAAGCACAAATGTGATGCCAGAAGAGATGATCAGATTAAAAACAAAGTATGAATCTCTTATAAAGTATGAAGATAGCAAACTAATGAATCATGCAGGAAGACTAAATCAGAGATCTGCAAATTTTTTTCAGTTCATAAAGGAGTCTAACAGGAAACTTTTACTTAGAAGCAGACCTAGAAACACTTTCACACCCTACTTAAGCTCTAAAAGTGATTGACATTAATATCTGAGCTGCCACCAATTGTTCCTGAGGCCAAAGGGACTCAAAAGAAGCCAGCCAGTGCCACGAAAAGGGGACTCTCCAAACCCGCACTTGTAGGGGTTCTGCACTTGAAACACTGCACAAGGCAACTGGTTTTGCAGGACAAATACAAATGGACGGAGCTCCTGGACAGGAGGGACCAGGAAGCCACGTTCCCAGGCTCAGAGGTCATCCCAAAATTCTTCACTATGGTGTTTCTGTGCAGTGAAGCACCTGGGGGTGATGGCGTTCCTCAATCACCTGAAGCCCTGCTTTGGCAGAGCATCATGTGCAAATGGCTTAGACTGTGCTAGAAGGTGGCCAAGCAGGGGGGTGGATGGCAGGAACATGCAGGTGTCAGGAACACTCAAAGTGACAACTTTTAGCACCCATCCCTGAGCTGTAGCCTGATGCACACACCCAGGAACTCACAGAGGTGGCCTTACCTGCACCCTCTCCAGGGCTAGCTCCAGGATTGCTGTTCTTCTTTCAGGTCTCCACACAACAGCCTTCTCCAGGGTGACTTTGGCCTCCTGCCACTGCTGCAGGTGGCACTGCACTGCTGCAGTGCTGTACAGCACCTGGAGTGGGCACAGGGAAGGGACTCAAAGGGCCAGGACCAAGGGACCCAACACATCCTCCTGAGCTCAGCCAGGAAACAGGAACAGGCACTAAAACACCAAAAATTCAGCAACAGGAGAAGCACTCTGAGCAGCATAGCTGGGAAATTTCACAATCAGAAAGGAAAAATAAAAGCTTGGGTGTGCTGGAGCTGCTGGTCAAGGTGATGAGAGACATGAAGACAGCAGGTGAAGACTCTGATACCATGCTCTTTAAATCTGATCATTTCTGCATCTAAAAGGCCGGGAAGCTTTCATCGGGTGTTTATCTGCATGCAACTAGGTAATGATTTTTGTAATCCTGACTCCCTGTCACTGCAAAATATCTGAACTGAAACTATTTCATGTTGTAGTGGGCTGTGAATGTACAAACTGTCAGCTGTAGCTTATCACCCTTCAGCAACATGTCAGTCTGTTCCTGGGGAAGAGCAGGCTGTGGGAGTGTTGCAGATGGGGTGTTGAGGAGCTGTGGTCTATACTGAGAGTGGGAGATCTCTCCCTGTCACTGGCCAGCTGGGCCACAGCCAGAGCACTGCCAGACAGCCCCTTATCTCCTGTGATAGGGTTATCAGCTGGGAATTGAGGTGTTTACCTGGCTGCACACCCTGCTCAGGACAAGCAGGACAAGCTGGAGCTCATAGGATGCTTCTCCTTTACTCCTTAGTCATGGCAGTAGAAGACTCTGCTTGGGAGTGTGAGGAACGGCAACCCTGAGCACGCACAGGAACTGCGGGGACAGATCCTCTCGGGAAGCAAGGCAGCAGTTCTCACTCAGTCAGAAGTGTCACAGCCTTGCAAGAGGCAAATATTTCTGGGTTTTCAAAGCACGAATGTATCTCCCACGAGGAGATCAGCTGCAGCACGTGAGAGGCCATGCATGGGGGAAGCTGATGGCACAATTCTGCTGGAGGATGATGTTCGTATATTTTGAAAAATGAGCTCCAGGTAAGAATGAAATACGGCTGAATCAGGATGCTGATCCCAAGTCTGGAGGGCCAGCACGGTGCCAGCACATGTCCTGGAGTAAGGGGTCATGTGTCCACACCTGAAAGGGCCCCAGCCTCCTTGGGACACTCCCGAGCCCTGCCCTTTTCCCAGGGAACTGCTCATTTCCAAGAGAAGGCATCCCCGTGGCACTGAAGCTGTTAAAGCCAGGCAGGTTTGGGAAATACCACGGATGCCAAGGATAGTTTCCTCCTGCCAGGTATAAGGTGCATGAAAATAGCCCAGATGCTTGGCTGGAGTTACACAATGACTCCTCACTCTCACGGAAGTAAGGAGTTAAATCCTCTTTCCTGTATCTGCTTTTCAATCTGTGTGGACTCAGAGAAAACAAAAAGAACCCTTCCAGTAAAGGACAGTTTCTAGGAATCCTTTACATATGTCCAAGTATTACAAACATTTACAATCAGTTCAGCCTTTGCGCTTCCTGGAACAGAGCAGGTTGGCTCTGTGTGACAGTAAGAGGTGCACGGTGAAGCATTACAAACACAGCCTGAGCACAGGGTGTAGTTCAGGCACAGAGGGAATATTAAGATCCGTTGCTGCAGTTGGAAAGATGCTTTCATGCACCTGACCTTCCTAGAGCCTACATTATGCATCGGCCCTGTTCTCATCTGTCAATGTTTCAACCTCTTTCAGCTCTGAGAGCTGAGGAGTTCACTAAATTTGTAATACTACAGTTGTATTTACATCCAAGTGTAAATATTACACAGAATCCCAGACTGGTCTGGGTTGGGAAGGACCTTAAAGCTCCCACTTCCACCCTTGCCATGGGCAGGGACATCTTCTACAGACCAGGTTGCTCCAAGCTCTGTCCAGCCTGGCCTTGGACATTTCCAGAGATGGGGCAGCCACCACTTCGTCACATATAGAGAAAATAAAACCCCCTCAATGTAGAAATTCCTGTGCACCTGCTCTGAACAATTTTACTTTTCAAACTGTATCATTTGCTAAACTTTCCAGAGATGATGTTTACAACTTTTATGATTAAATTACGTTTTAAAAAGTGCAAGCAGAATATTTTTACAGTTCTAATGTACTTTCTTGAAAAGGTCTTGGGTCACTAATGCCTGCTACTGACACCCCCAACAGTGGGGAAGGATTGCTGAGCCAGGCTGTCTCTTACCTCCCAGGCATAGAGGATGTGCCTCAGCCCCAGCTGCTTGTAATCAATGAAGGGATTTTCTCTTAGGTGACTGAAGGCCATGTGATAGTCAGAGAGAGCTTCTTCATACCTGCAATGCAGAGGTGACACAAGAAACTGAGCCTAAAATGGCTGGAGACTGTTTAAAAAGCTTAAAAATCATACTAGCAAATAACATGTGTTCTGCTCTGCAACCTGTGCAAGGAGAGCTGCACCAGAGATGTGTTACAAAGAACCAAAGTCACCCATGCTGGGAGCTCCCTGCCTGTCCCAGCACGTGTCCCAGGAGGACTAAGGGCTGGGAACCTGACTGATGGGGACCAGAGAGGGCACACACATGGCCAGAGCATCAACATTGAGAAACTCAAAATTTAGAACCTCAACATTTAGAGAACCTCTGTGAATAAGGAGGGTATTAGTCTGATTTTACACCAGCTATGCAACTGAAATCCAAGCAGGTGCCTACTGAGGCTGCAGGTGGTGAAAGGAAGGGCCCAGGAAGGGCTGTGCAGTGGGCACCTGACCAAGAGAAGGTGCCCAGGTGGGTATTGGTGGGTGGGAGCAGCTTCTGATGAAGGAAAGAGCCCTGGGGGCTGGAGGCCACCCGCTCTTTGGGCAGGAGGCAGCTGCCAGCTCTGCTGCCCCTGTAGTGGCTGTGCTTGGGGCACAGCAGCTCTAGAGAGCCCTGCCTGGGGCTCCACCAGCCCCAGGCACAGCCCCTCTACTGGAGAAGCCAGAACATCTCACTTTAACTCCCTTCCAGAAATAAAGACAGGCATTTTGTGTAGATTAAAGCCTGGGAAATATGGGGAAAATAAGGGGAAAGAAAATAACTGAGCTCAAAGGTAAGACAAGAGCTGTAAAATACTTCATCCAGCTCCCTGAGGAGGATGTCCCTGTGGTTTAACCATAGCAACAATGAGTAATCAATCCCATGACACTTGGAATGTCACCTCAATATATTATCAGTGAGACTGAGATCAGGCCCCTAAAGTCTGCTGACAGGAGAGTGTGCAGGCTGCATTTTTAGGAAGGCCAGACTCATGTGTGTCTTGTGAAGACACACCAAGCAGCACAATTACATTTTTTAAATTGACAGAGAAAATCTGAATGGCAACATAACATTGTGGCAGCCTTGCATCCAGGAGTTTCTGAGTGTAGGGGACAGCAATGTCGTGTGTCAGCCATCCCTGGGGTCGCAGAGGTTTGCAGCTCTTATCAGAGATAAGACTTGCTGACTTGTGACAAGGTTTCCAAGGCTAAAGCAGACCCTGTGAACCCTATAAGATTGCTGCAAGAAGTGAATTTTGGAATCAAAGAATCATTTAGGTTTAGGAATAAAGCAGGACTGAAAGGAGAGAACCAAAGACTGCACTGGCTGTGCACCTCACTCACTTTTCCAGCTGCAGGTGGACAAACCCTCTCTGGAAGTAGCCCACAGCCAGGGACTTGTCCTTCTCAATGGTTTTATCAAATGCCTGAGAAGAAAGACACAGGCACATTGCAGGGACCAGCTGGGATCTGTCCTGTCAGTGCCTGGGCACACACACCCAGCCAGCCATGTCCCAAATGCCCTCACAGAGGCAACCCCTGGGCTCCTGCCCAGCTCCCAGGGCTGGACACAGCTCCCAGTCATTGTCCCAGTCAGCTCTGTGTGAGCTGAGCTTCAGGCTTTTACCCCTCCTTGCTACAATGGACTGGACACAAATGAGCTGCATTGGCCACCTGGCTTCTCAAAATAGGAAAACTGTAGCCTGAAGCAGAGTTGGCCAGTGGGAGCAGTGGGACTGGTCGGGCTGGGGAAGGTTGAGGTGACGAAAGGGTGAGAGCAAGGAAGCTGCAGGGCTTCTCACAATGGCCTCTAAGTCAATACTTCTGCTTCAGTGCCCCAGCTAAAAACAGGCTGTGGTAGCAGCTCCTGGTTCAGCGTGCTGGGAGAGCCAGGAGTCCTCCTGAGGCAGCAGCAGGGGTGTGCTCCTTCCCTTGCCACTGCAGACACCCCGTGGGGATAGCAAGTGCTGGAAGCCCAGCCCTCCCTGCCCTGCCTGCACAGGGACAGCACTGCAGGGGAAGGTGAGTCCCGGTGACCCCACACACCTGCTGGACACCTGGTGACCCCACACACCTGCTGGACACCTGGTGACCCCACACACCTGCTGGACACCTGGGCCGTGGCTGAAATACCAACAACCAACCACTGAGCCACACGGAACTAGAGCTCAGCTTCTTCCCAGTCACTGCCCCTTGGCTGGGGCTCAGAAGTCTCTCCTGAGCTTTCTTCCTCATCTCCATGGTACCACTGCCATGTGGTCACTGTGTCCCAAACAGCCACTGCCCTGCCCAGGGCTCCACGGCACTGCCTCAGCCCCTCCTTACACTGTTTGAGGAGAGGTTTATCTGCATCTCCTCCCTGGAATGGACGGAGGATGGATAGACAGATGGATGTATGGATGGATGTGCAGACACACCAGGTGCTGTCACAAAAAGGCTTTTCCTCAGGGCACCTCCTCTCCCTTCCTAAGGGCAGTGTTTTTCCAGCACAGCAGCTTTGTTCTGGCAGTCACCAACTCCCAAGCAACATATTTGTACTTTCAAAAAACACCCATCTCATGTCTAACCCACGCCTACAGAACAGCTATTGGACAACCTTTTTCCTGCTTTGATTTAAAGATGCAGCACATTTTAAATTTATTGTGCATGTCCAGTGGGTTGAGGTCTTCTCTTGGAATCAGGCAGGCTGAGCTTTAGAGGTGTGGTTTTCACATGATAATGAGCTAAGTTCACCTAAAGAACAGGATTTTAACTGATTTAGCTTTAACAAAACTTAAGGTACATTACCGGATGCAGTTTCCAGTATCTTATTTAAGTACTCTCTGTCTCTATTATCTTGTTTAAATATTATTCTGCCCACTGATCTGGATTTCCATAGCATTTAGAGAACCATGGAATCACAGAAGCATTAAGGTTGGAAAAGGCCTCAAAGAGCGACTCCAGCTGTTAACCCGGCATCACTGAGTTCACCACTGAACCCTGTCCTCGACGGCCACACCCGCCTTTTTAACTTCAGCCTTTTTCACTTTTCTATGATTCACCCTGCTAAACCCTTTCCTTCAACCATTCACCCTTCAACATCCCCGCTCGCATTCCCGCTGGACACGCAGCGCACGAACCGCCGGATTCCAGATCCAGTTTCAGCATCGCTCCCTCCGAGACGGACCCGGGGGGACGAGCCGCCCTGGCCGGGATCGCCCCGCTGCCCCGGCCGGGATCGCCCCGCTGCCCCCGCCGGGATCCCCCCGCTGCCCCCGCTGCTCCGGCCGGGATCTCCCCGCTGCCCCGGCCGGTATCTCCCCGCCGCCCTGGCCGGGATCCCCCCGCTGCTCCGGCCGGGATCGCCCCGCTGCCCCCGCCGGGATCCCCCCGCCGCCACGGCCGGGATCCCCCCGCCGCCCCTGGCCGGTATCTCCCCGCCGCCCCGGCCGCTCACCCGCAGGGCCGCCTCGGGCCGCCCGGCCAGCAGCTGCACGCAGCCCACGTTGAAGCAGATCCTGGCCGGAGGCTCCGCGATGCCGCCGAAGGTGTCCAGGGCAGCGTCCCAGTGCCCGCGGTCCGCCGCCCGCACGGCCTCGTGCCAGCGCCGCACCAGCTCCCGGTACGCCATGGCCGGGCACGGGAACGGGAACGGGAACGGGGCCGAGCGGGGCCGCACCTGCCGACCGCCCGCGCCTCACCTGCGCCGCACCTGCCGCGGCGGGGCGGGAAAGCGCGGCCGCCTCTGCCCGCTGCGCTCCGCCCCTGGGCGGGGGACGGGACACTGAGCCCGGAATGGGACATGGACCAGGAATGGGACACCGAGCCCGGAATGGGACATGGACCAGGAATGGGACACTGAGCCCGGAATGGGACACCGAGCCCGGAATGGGACATGGACCAGGAAAGGGGGACACTGAGCCCGGAATGGGACATGGACCTGGGAGGGGCGGGGAGGGGGACACGGGCCCCGGGAAGGGACACAGACCGCGGGAAGGGGGCACATGGAGCCCGGGAGGAGAGACGGAGCCCAGAATGGGACAGGGACCGCGGCAGGCGGCCGGAGCCGGCGGGACGGAGCGGCGAGGGCGGCGGCCACACCTGAGCGGGCACTGGGATGATGCTGCTGGCTGAGGGCACCAGAGGGCACCTGACCAGCCGCCAGAAGCGAGCCCGCGGCCAGCGCTGCAGCAGCCAAATTACCGCTTTGGGAGCTTTGAATAAAATATTTAACGCAAGAAACATAGCAGATAGTCTCACGGCCATTTTGTGCGAGTTAGCTACAGTAAGTACGGTAGGCACAGGCGGCGCCGCACTCTGGTAAATACGGTAGTCCCGGGCTCGCGCGCTCCGCGGGCGACATCGCCCCCAGGCGGCGGCGCGCGTCGGTGCCCCCGAACAGGAGACCGATGGGGGCGCGGCGCCGTGCGCGAGACGTTCCGGGGCCGCTGACGTTTGCGGCGAGGAGCGGCGGGGAAGGCTTTGAACGGCGGACCGGCGGTACCAGGTGAGTCCCGGGCGGGCCCGGCCCGAGAACCGGGCCCGGAGCGGCCCGGGAACCCCGCCCGGCCCGGCCCGAGAACCGGGCCCGGAGCGGCCCGGGAACCCCGCCCGAGAACCGGGCCCGGAGCGGCCCGGGAACCCCGCCCGAGAACCGGGCCCGGAGCGGCCCGGGAACCCCGCCCGGCCCGGCCCGAGAACCGGGCCCGGAGCGGCCCGGGAACCCCGCCCGGCCCGGCCCGAGAACCGGGCCCGGAGCGGCCCGGGAACCCCGCCCGGCCCGGCCCGAGAACCGGGCCCGGAGCGGCCCGGGAACCCCGCCCGGCCCGGCCCGAGAACCGGGCCCGGAGCGGCCCGGGAACCCCGCCCGGCCCGGCCCGAGAACCGGGCCCGGAGCGGCCCGGGAACCCCGCCCGGCCCGGCCCGGCCGCTCCCGGTGCCCGCTCCCGGTGCCCGCTCCCGGTGCCCGCATCGCGCCACGAGCGACCCCGGCGCTGGCGGGGCCGGGCAGGCCGGGCCGGAGCCGGTGCCTGCGGGAGCGGGGCGCGCAGAGCGGGGACAGGAGCGGCGGGACCGACCCGCGGTCACACCGGCTGCGGCGGGTTAAGTGCGATTAACAAACCAGAGACATCGCGGCAGCCCTGCCGGGGGTTTCGCTCCCAAACAAACCGGTTGGGCTCCATGCCGCCGATTTGAAATGTGGCGGAGAATGGGAAATAAGAGGCAGCGGGATGGGAAGTACTGCGAGTGTTGTCCACACATGGAAAGATAAAATGTGGTTTAGGAAAGGAAAGGTAGTTTGTTAACGTGATGTCGGCAGCAGGAGTGAAGTAATATGAGCGGCTAAACTTTTGTGTCTAATTAGATCCTGCAGATGCAATGAATGTAAAGATTAAAGGCTAACCCACTTGTGGTTGGAAAGGAGATCCCCCGACTGGTGTTTCCTCTTGGGAAGGGATTTCAGTATCTGAGTCAACTGATGATTGCTTAGAACCACGTACTTGGGTTTTCCTAGGAATTGAACTCTAGTGCAACTTGACAAGTTAATGAAACAGGTGCTGTTGCCATACAAAATTTAAGAACAGCCTTAGGACAAACCGTGCCTCAGCTGCTAAATGGAAGCTGTGGATGGGTGAGAAGCAGCTGCTTCCCACAGCTTGGTTCAGTCCCTGGCTGAGCCCAGAGCGGCTGTGTCACCTTTGCTGTTCGGGGTCCCTGCTGGCAGAGGGGACACGCAGGGACAAGGTGCTGCTGGCCAGCCTGGGTGGTTCCATGGGGCAGGAGGATCTTGATACCACCACAGCTTCCCACCACAGCCACTGGTGGGGTGGAGGGGGAGTGGCAGGACACACGTGCATCAATAGTGGCACAGTCTGAACTGCTCTGCTGGGGGAGGAGCTGATTGCTTGTGTGGTTTTCAGTTTTTCTAAAGAAAATCAAGCTGCAGTGGGCATGTGTGTGCTTGTGGTTAGAACGGGCTGCCAGGGCATCTCTGGTTCCAGGAGCTCTCCAGTGAGATAGAAAACTCCTGGGGAGTTCAGGGCAGGCCACAGAAATGCTCCGGTTCTGGAAAACAAGCCCTGAATAAGCTCAGCTTATCCAGGCACATTGAAGAGAAGAGAGCTGAGGAGTGACTCGGGCACTCTGGAAATCCATGCCTGTGGGAAGTTCTCCTGCAGCTGGATCCTGTCAGCCTTCCCAAAGCACACAGAGGGATCTGGTAACTGAGACACAGCTACACAAATTCTGTTAAATGGACCCAACTTCCCAGCACTGGTGGAGGGTAATTCCAGGAGGAGTTTGGGCAGAGGGGAAGGCTGTCAGTGATGGGAGCTCCGCAGCTGGAGGGTGTCAATGCTGAAGGTGGGCTCAGAGCAGACTCCTGGGCACTCTTGGGGGCCAGGCCAATTTGGGCAAGCAGTAGGGCAGAAACAATCAAATTTTAACATCTGGAGCAAAACCAGCAAAATGCATCTTCTGGAACATAAACGCTCCATCAGAAAAGCTCTGTCTGGAGTTCTAAGGCAACAGTGCTGCCAGCAGCAATGCTGCCACTCAGCTGCACAGAGCTGTGCTGGTGGTTGCAGTTCAGCAGTGCAGACACCCCTCTCTATTGGGGCAGAGGCAATGCTGCTCACACAGAGGCAGCCCCTCAGTCAGCGTGGGGTGCACAGAAGGATTAAACTGAACACTTCAAATTGCTCTTTTCCACTGCAAACAGCAACTGGCACAACTGGAAATAGTGCAACTTGTGGGATTCTCCAGAGGCAGCGTGGAGAGAGGTGAGCTCCCTGTGCTGGGAGTTCTCAGCCCTCAGGTGTTGCAGAGGGATCCACACAGAGGTGGATGCCTGTTCACAGAGGCTCAGTTATACTCAGACAACCAAAGCAGCTGCTCCTGTGAATAAATAATTTACCCGAACGTGTATTAAATAACTTGCTGATGTGTGTAGTGATGTAACTTGGGAGGAGAGGTAATGACCTAGGGCACCTCTGGGCTAATGACGGAGACATTTCATTGGAATTGAGAGTGTTCTGAGCTGAGCTTTAGTAATTTAATTCAAAAGCTAATTACTGAATCTGTGTAATATGTCTTTAAATAAAAAAATTTTTTTTGTAGCTCTCTGAGGATTCTTGGTGCTCTGGCAGACTCCACAAGCAGCTCCTTTGGTAACCAGGGGCACTGGGGGGAGAGCTGGTCACAGAGGAACTGAGGAATGGAAACAGGACAATTGCCAAGGGCTGAACATCCTGCAGATTCACATGTTCATCTCCAATCTGAATGAATGTGTAATAAATTGATACACTGTTGGAGGAACTATGGCAGGTGTCAGTGATAAACATCTGAAAAAAACTTGCAGAAAAATGAAAGGGGGTGTGCATATGTGGGCTATTGGAAGTCTGGAAAGCTGTTTTCCCAGGGGATAAAAGTCTTTGACTCTTTTGGAATACACTTGGAGGCTCAGTGCTGCAGTGTGACCAAGTGGTATCAACTTGGGCCTGGCAGGTGAGAGCCTTGTACAGGGGTTTGAGGTCAGGAGCAGCGTGTCCTTTTCCCACCTGTGCTGACTGAACTCCCTGCTGGGAGAGCTGGGGCAAATCCTGCTTTGTGGGCTGCAGGTGAGGATCAGGCAATAAACCCTGCTGGTGGCATTTACAGCTTTGCCACGGGCTGGGCTGTCCCTCTGGGCACAGCCCCTCGTGCTGGCTCTGAACAGACCTGCTTGAGGGTTGAGGCAACTGCTTCTGGCAAAGACATTTCTACAGCAGAAAAAAATTCATGTGTTGCTAATTCTTACAGAATAATCCTCATTGCAGTTTCTTCTGCAAGGAATAGGTGGAAATGCAGGTAAAGAAAGATGGAGTGTTTTGGAATCTGGTCAGACCAGGAGCAGTTAAAAACTCTTCAACTGCTGTCTGATCACCTGTAACACTTGAGGGTTCTGTGCCTTCTCTGACCTTGTCTCATGGACAAAGTTGTGTATTCCTTGTATTGGCACACTGAATGTGAAGAAGGAATTTGCTAATGAAGAAAAAGGAGATATAAATAAGAAGAATGGAAGAATTAAGCAAAGGAAAAAATAGTCAAATTTCTGTTGTGTAAACATTTGAACAGTAACAGCCCAGAAACGACTTTGACATATCAGGAGTGGTTCCTGTTGGTGTCCTGCTCTGGGGCTGCTGTTCCTGCAGGTCATACTTGCCCCTGCTTGTTGTAGCAACTGATATAAAAAACACATCAAAGTCTCTTGTCATAATATCCAGCCCAATTCTCTGCCCAGTGCTTCAGTCCGTCTCTGAGTCTATTTAGGAGAGCAAAGCTGTAGATTTGTCTGCACAGGTGAGCTCTGGCTCCTGTGCAGTTGCTGGGCTGGGCATTGCTGTGATTCTTGTCCCACACTACTGAGCCAGGGCAGGAGACACTCCAGCTCTACATAGATTTAATGCATTTAAATAACTTCCTCTTTATCACACCTCCAGCTCTGCCAAGGGTATGGCCACATTTCATGTTAAGTCTAAATGTGTGGCTGCTGTAATTTTAGACTCTTTTGATTAATGTAACACTTTTACTTTTTTTCTCATTCCATGGTTTGTGATACCCGGTGTGATTTATTCTTGGCTGTTGCTCATCTTGCCTTCAAAAGCAGAGTGCCTAACGAGGGGTTACCCTTACAGCTCTGCACACAGCTGTGGTTCACTTACTCATTTCAGGGATTAACTTGCTCTTGCCTTTTTTACAGTTTTTATTCTGTGCTGAATAGGACTTAGGTCTGGTTCAAAAGAGACTGTAATCATTTTTTATTTTACACCAATTCA